CCAACACAAGATGAGGATCACACAAGCCACGAGCAATCCACTAGAGTTTCTTTTGGCTCTCCACCGGAAAGGTCAAGAACCCCTCACAATCACCATGATCGGAGCCAGAGACAATCACCACCCCCGCTTAATGATCCTCGCTGCTCCAAGCCGTCTAGGTGGCGGCAACCACCAAGAGTAACAAGCTAATCCCGCAGCGAAACACGAACACCAAGTGCCTCTAGATGCAAAACACTCAAGCAATGCACTTGTATTCTCTCCCAATCTCACAAAGATGATGAATCAATGATGAAGATGAGTGGGAGGGCTTTGGGTAGGCTCACAAGGTTGCTATGTCAATGTAAATGGCCAAGAGAGTGAGCTTGAGCCGGCCATGGGGCTTAAATAGAAGCCCCCACGAAATAGAGCCGTTGTACCCCTTCACTAGGCACAACACGGGGTGACCGGACGCTCCGGTCGGATCGACCGGACGCAGGCCCTCAGCGTCCGGTCATGTGATACATGCCACGTGTCCCCTGCTTCAAATACTGTTCATCAGATTTCAACGGTCATCTACTGACCGGACACCACGCACAAACTGACCAGACGCTCAGCCTCCAGCGTCCGGTCGTTTCCAGTAAGGTTCCAGAAACAAATTTCTTCGACCGAACGCATCCGATCATGCTTGATCGGACCCTGCCAGTGTTCGGTGTCACAGTGACTTCCTCTGTGCTTCCATGTCGGTATGACCGGACATTGGACCTCAGCGATCCGGTCAGTCCAAGACCCATCATCCGGTCGTTTGATCGACGCCAGCGTCTTCACTGTTACAACTGACCGGACGCGCTGGTTCCTCTGAGGCCAGCGTCCGGTCACCTTGTGACCAGCGTGACTAACTCCTTTTCACTTCTATCTTCTTCACCCTTGCTCAAATGTCCAACCACCAAGTGTATCACCTTATGCACATGTGTTAGCATATTTTCACAAACATTTTCAAGGGTGTTAGCACTCCACTAGATCCTAAATGTATGTGCAATGAGTTAGAGCATCTAGTGGCACTTTGATAACCGCAGTCCGATTCGAGTTTCACTCCTCTTAATAGTACGGCTATCAAACCTAAATGTGATCACACTCTCTAAGTGTCTTGATCACCAAAATAAAATAGCTCCTACAATGTATACCTTTGCCTTGAGCCTATTGTTTTTCTCTTTCTTCTTTTCAAGTCCAAGTACTTGATCATCACCATGGCATCGCCATCTTCATGTCATGATCTTCATTTGATTCACCACTTGGAATGTGCTACCTATCTTATAATCACTTGATAAACTAGGTTAGCACTTAGGGTTTCATCAATTCACCAAAACCAAACTAGAGCTTTCATAGGTGCATAGGGGTAATGCAGCCATGCAGGTATTTATCCTCCACATTGATCTACGTGTCCAACTCTACAACGTCAACCTTTATGGGACAAAGGGAGTACTGTATACCAAGTCAAAATTTTCTAACTTTGGACAGTGTATGAGGAATTATTATAGATTAAATACTCAACATGAACTCATTTTCATAATTTCCCATGTTTGGATTTATAGTAAAGTGCACTAGCGGGTGTTGAGGACAGTCCCGCTGGTGCTTGTTAGCCAACCGTAAAATTTGCTTAATCATTCCGAGGCTTGGTAATTTGGTCTAGGAGAAAAGAATTGATGCAGTTTGATGCACCTTTTATGGAAGATGAAGCTCCGCTATTGCTTAAAGAAATGCCGGTCATCGAGTCAATAAAATTAGTTTGTTTGTGCCGTTTATGTGCGATTAGTAGATCTATCAGCGGCCTATAGGTGAGTTTTAGAGACATGTAAGATGTTTTAAATGCATTGTTCATCACTTGAAAATGATGGAGCTTGTGAAGTTTAGCCATGTTACTTTGTTGTATAGGGCGCTATATCAAGTTATTTTGTTAGAGTGGATAGTAGAGTTAGGGATGCAGATTTGATTGGGTCAACCCCACAATCCATCACACATTACTCTACCTGTAAGTTTTAGTGTACAAACCCTATAGGGCTAACCCACCGATTTATGGTCCCATATTGAATAACACTGTGGGTCATTGGCTTACGCACTATATCACAATGCAACCTCCTATGGGCCATTGTCAACCTTTGTTCGTTGCTCTTTGTTACAACCTCTCAATTTTCCTTTTTTCTTATCTACTGGTCACTCGTCCCTTCCCCACACTCTCCATCAAGTCCATGCTCCTACTCTACTCGTTTTCCAACTAGATCGCTAGTTCAACAAGTGTCTCCTTAATTCATGGCTTACTATCAACAGCCCTATCGAGCTCTACCACCCTAGGTGATATGAACGGGGCTCCCGATCTTCCGTCAGGTTGAGATAATTATCGATTTGGTGGAGAGCGACACACTGATCTGGCTTCAGATCACAAAGATCCAAACCCTGCAACCATAGCACCATGTCTCCTCTAGTTATGAATCGTGTCACAATCCGGTTGACCTCACCAAGAAGGCTAATCCCTACTACGAATCGAAGAACACAAGCATGAAGAAGATAAAAACGCAACTCAATTGAAGTGACAATTGCAGATGAATGATTAAGCACTCGAAGTTGGGGTTTGACAACCAATAACGACGACTGTTCAATGATAGATTGATCTAAAGCATAACTCAAACCCTAACGTAGCTACTGATTATATTGTCTATGGAGCGTCCAAGAACCCCTATCTGCGCCCCCTAATGAGCCTACACGTTACATGGCCCAACGGCCCAAAAGACGGTGACGTAGCACCCTGATAGATTCTGGACACTGACTTGTTTTAACGATTTCCGTTGACTCTGGTGGAATTTTGATGTCAAACCAAAGACATCAGTTAGCTTATGAAATTATCTTTTCATCCATAGGTGGACTGTCGAAAACGGAGTCTGTATATGTTCGAGACGTCCATTTTACTGCAGGCTGGTCCTAGATTCTGAGATGGACTCAAACTTGGTATAGATTGGGCCTCCAACTTGACTTGGACGCTGTTGTTGGCATTCTAAGGAGGTGGCCAAGGGGTAGGACGTCCAAGGGCTTCCTTGGTATGTTCTCCACATGGTTGGGACATGCTCCAACTTGGGCCAGGGTCCCAAGTGTGAATAACAAGCCCACGATGACATCGTAGCACTCGACAAAAATAGGGACAATATGTCTTGATTATTTGAAAACCTTTCTGACATGATATTTAGGTGGGAGTGTGGGACCATATCTATTTGAAAGCTTATCAAACAAGATTTCCATCAAGTGCTCATTGACCTCAATCGCACTCAGGATGGATGAGTTATGGCCTTCCCAATGAAGCATTGTCGGGCTACCGACGAACCGAATGTTGAAGTTTGATGAGCTTGCACTCCAAGATCGATCTTGTGCATTGGTTTGAAATTACATTTGGTTTATGTCCACCAACAAGCTCTGCTAATGTTTTTGTCCTTGGCTTCAGCAAGTAGATCACAACTTACACTCTCTAAGTTTGTGTCGGAGCAAGTGCAATCATTTGGTCTATTTGGTTGAGTCGAAATGATTTGGTTTTTGACAAAAATATATTATCTTCTTATTTACAAGTTATTTTAGGGCCACTCTGTCAGATTATTTAGCTCCAACAATGCCTAGCAACGAGATCGCGTAGATGGAATCAGATGGTAGCACACGAGACACAAGGATTTATACTCGTTCGGGGCGCGGTGGGGCGCTAAACCCTATTCTAGTGGTGCTGCTGCTCTTGTAGATTGTTATGGCAGAAGATAGATCCCGCACCCGAGGTCCCTACCCCCTTTATATAGGCAGAGGGGGTAGGGTTACAGGGAGGGCGATTGGGCTAACAGATTGGATTCCCGGTTTGTTACACGATTGCGCAACAGATCGATCCTAGCTATCGTCCAGATGCGTCTGTCTTGGCTTGCCTTGATCTCCATGTTGGTCGACCGTGCCAGCCCTTGCGGGCCTCCTTCTTGACGGCTGCTGGGCCGATGGCCTGGTGATGGTCACATATACGAGCGGGTACCCCTGGTCCATATATCTGATACACTCATTGGACACGCTTGTGGTGTATCTTACAAAAAGCCCATGACCGACCAACGTTAAAGTGGACAACCTGTATCATGAAGAAAGCAACAATGGAGATTCTCACCAAACATGGGTGGCCGTTTTTTAATAGGCTTATGCATAGTTTATTATTGCTTCTTGTGAACTTTTTTAGGCTTGTTTTTTATGCCAAAGACTTGTTTTGTAGTAAATTTTGATTGATGCATAACTTATGCAAGATGGCATCTATAACTACGAATGGCTGTGGCTGCCTTAGACTCTTGTGATCATGGTGTTGCTTATACTGATGTGTTTCAATTAATTGCACACACTGGACAAGAGCAATCATTATCCTTTGTATTTCTTTCTATGGAGCTTTAGCCTATTCACCCCTATTCTGCGTAAGAGGCGCTTGTAATCTCTCTCTGGATGGCTCCATTCCCATCATGGGTGCGTTCTTATGCTATCAATACATTTAGCTTTTAAATGTCATTAGAGATGCACATGTATACATGGACAAATTGACAATACAAATGGACAAATTGACAATACAAATAGGCATTATTGCCATTATAATTAAAGTGTAATTAGGAGGCGGGCGTTGGTTTGCAAATCACACTTTTAAATCCTCCCACAAATCTACAAATAGGCATTATTGCCTTTGACACATTACCTACAAATCTTCATGAATCATCAGATCAATGGCTAAAGCCCCTTAGCTTCAGCTGTTAGCTAACCTTATTAACATGAGACATTATGCCAACTTATGCATGGAAGTGTAGCCTACTCGGTTACACTTTATTATGTACATACCATTCTACCATGACACATGAATCGGTTGGCTACTTATGTACTACGTTACATCCAGCACACCTCAATGTTATTAACTGTGTAATGATGCAATTATGCACTATTCCAGTGATTTATTGCATATGTGAATATGCATATTGTTGACACTACACCCTGTTCGCTCGATCGTATCAGCCATGATACAGTGTTTTTCTCTCACAGTAAAATAGCATCAGCCGACTTATAAATCACAGAAACAATCAAGCGAACAGGTTTCCCAAATCATTGTCCCCACCACAGGAAGCTGACGTTGACACGTAGTCCAATGGCTCTTCTTTCTCCTCAGACTGCTGAAACACTTGTGTTGGATTGGAGTAGCTAACGGACTCCTTAGGAGTGGTGTCGCCGTTGCTGAGCTGGGACGCCACGAACTTGTCGAGAGCTCGCCAATCTGTGCCTGACGCATCCCCAGCCGTCAGATAGAGAGGCTCGGCCTGGAGCTCCTGCACGGTGTATCGAGTGGCACCATGGTCCTGCGTAAGGCCACATGGCTGGAGAGTAGTGTCTACTTGGCCAATAAGGTCAGGGAGCTTGGGGCTCTCCAGCTGAGGGAGCTGCTGCAGGAAGTGCTCCTGGGGAAGGAGGTGGTGGTACTCCAGCTCCACCTTGCAAGGGTAGCTGTAGCTGCTCTGGTGCCTGTGGTACATCATGGCGCTCTGCTGGAGGTGCGTCGCCTGCCTCGGCGAGCCAGGCTCCGGTGCCATGAACCCCGTGTGGTCGTTGAACCAGTAAGGGGAGTCCCCAACCATTCTTTGGACAGTCGCGAGTCGCTTCCTGAACACCCTGCAGACAACCCATCCTTCTTCCTGAATGAGAATGACATGCATGCATACAGCCTTTTGTTAGACAGGTCCTGAATAACTAATATAACGCACGCGTAGGATGCTGACATGCATCATGTGTACATGACACTAGGTGAACAAGAAATGAAGTAATCCTAGGAATCTTTATATCTTACGTGTGGAATTCCATTTTCGTTGGTCTCCAAGCGATACTCGTGCATGATCCAATCTGACTTCTGTCCATTGGGCGCCCGGCCTTTGTAGAAAACTAGTGTCTTCCTCATCCCTACGAGGTAGTTCTTCACATAGATCGGCTTGTCTCTCCCTGTGGCCTTCCAGAAACCGGCCGTCGTTGCTCTGTTGGTGCGAGTGCCGGTTGGGTACTTCTTGTCCTTGTGGCTGAAGAAGTACCACTCGTTTTGCTCTTCAGCTCCAATCCTGCACTTTTCTGTTTCATCATCATATATAGAAGTGGGTTAGCGGCTTACAACCATTGGGATACATGCATAATAACTTCACAAGAAGCTTGTTATTCCACACATGCTATGAGTGTACATATTGCTGTTAAATACAGTTTTATGTCTCATGCAAGCTTGAAGTATAAATCGAGTTTAGATTGCTGTACCTTGCAGATCCCAAGGCTCAATTTTGTATAAATCCACATCTTTTATAACATCCAAGTCTATCTTCTTCAGTGCTACCTTTTTCCTAAGGTAGTAATCAACGAGTTCTTCATCGGTAGGGTGGAAACGAAAGCCGGGAGGAACATGTGTGAAAGCGTCCATCTTCTTCTTCTGAGAGCCAAGTTATTATATATGCAGCTGGTAGACGTCGAGCAAACCTCACTGCACCATGGTTAACAAAGATATTATTTAGCCATAACTTTTGTTGCCAGCTAGTCTTCTGATGTGTGGGGCTTATCTATTTTGTACTAGCTCAGGCAAAATAAATGATAAGAATGTACGACTCCGTCCTGTTCAAGAATATATAAAGTTTTTTCTGATTATAAAACTTGACCCTTAGTTTCTACAGTGACAAATAATTTTAAAATATATGAAAGCACTTGTGGTTTTGGACGAGATCCCATCAAAATCTTACAACTTTGGCTATTAATAAAAATTTTAAAACATTTTTCTTCATTCAATGCAATACATCTCAGGTGGGTACTCTCTCTCTCTCCTCTGTTGACAATAAAAAGATATGTAGTTTGAAACATAAAAATCGTATAGATTTATCTTGAATATATACTTCCTCCAATGCACGATACTGATATGATATTTTTTGATAAATGGTATAAATCTATACAAATGTGATAATCATACATTATGCAATTATTTTTCATAATAAATCTATTAATACCGATCTTGTGATGTCAATCTATATAAAGTTTTAGCTAGACAGTGCTAGTGAAAAGTAAATAACCACTGACTTATAGTATTTGTGACCAGAGAGGACTTCCATAACCTCATAGATATGATATGATTTATTATATTAGAAACATGCAATTTGAAAACATAAGATCATATGTGTAGACTATATTTAATTATAAATCTATTAGGTTTTATATAGATATATATATCCTAGTAGAAAATAGTGATCGAAAACACAGCTTTAGAGCCCACGAATGATAAAAAAAAACATCAAGTTAGGGCCTATTTGGATCCTCTCCTCTAAACTTTAGAGTTAAAGCTCCAAACAACAAGTCTAAAGTTAGCTCTAAACTTTAGCCTACCTCATATTAGAGCATTAGACCTCAAAACTGAGCTAAAGTGCTCTAAAGTTTTTAGAGCTCTAAAGTTTAGAGGGGAGGATCCAAACAACCCCTTATATGTGAATTGAGGGAGTACTTCTTTCATGTAACCAATCTAAATCATTCTATTTGATCCAGCGATTGAACTTAAAGAAATATCTTCCAAAACTCTTAAATGTCATATAATTTAGAATCGAGATGTGGTTTTAGTTTTCCATCAACTCTAAATGTTTGTTACAAAAGGTGAGAATCATTACGTGCACTATATATAGGTACGCTAGTAGTGAGGGCGAGTCTGTATAGACAATAAGGAGTGCGGGCGGACTCACGTAAAAACGAAAAAAACAGTGACTCTGGTTAATTTTTCATCATACACGCACCTTGACGGTAAAAGTTTATGCACGCAACGCACCTGTCAATGAAGCTAGATTTCTACCCTCGTGGAGACTCTGGTTAATTTTTCATCATACACGCACCTTGACCGTGACTCTAGCTTCACCCCTACTAATAATAGTATGATACTTCTGTCATACGATTACCCAGACGAAATCCCAATATCCTGCTTTGTTTTTTTTCCGATCTTTTGTGTCAATAATGAAGCTAGATTTCTACCCTCGTGGAGACCTTTACGTTGAATTGGTTAAATTAATGTTCAAAGATGACAGCGTGGTAAAGAAAAAGACTTCGGAGTAGTTTACTACTATCTCGGAAACATTTTGCATATATATCCTGAGGGAAAAGCATTAGTAAAGTTCATAACCATATTAATGCATGCATGCTTGCTTTCCTCTAACCCAGAAGTACAGATTAAGATTGTAAATCATCCCGACAACAGTTTGCCTTAATTTCTCAGAGTTCGATGAAAACACACTGTCGAACATGTCCTTTGCAAATCCCAGCTGTGGAGTAGTAGCTGGACTATCGAAACCTACGTACATACAGTACAGACGTAATAAGGTGGATGGATAGCTGATATTACCTGAGTTAGCCTGTTAATCTCTATGCCTCGTGCCAAAGCTGCGCCGGCTTTACACTCCGTATAGCACGCCGACTGCAAGCAGGTACTGGAGCACCACCACCGGGGCAACACGCTTCGCCGCTCCCTTTCCTCGCCGGCCGGCCCGCTTCTCGCGCGAATCGATCGGCGAAACTTACGATTGAATCAAACGACTGTACGCGCGCACAGAACATGCATGCATCATCGATCAGCCGCAGTTCATCAAATGAGCGAGCGAGAGCGAGAGCTAGAGCCTAGAGATCAGGGGAGAAATGGAGGCTACCTTGATGTGCTTGCTGGGATCGATCGGAAGCCCCCTCGCTCGCTGTCGTCAGCCGGATCGATCGGTATATGGAGAGGCGGGATAAGGCCGGCCGCGCGCGGCGTGGGTATATATGGCGGTGGCCGGTGGTGGGTGGCGCCGGAAAGCGCGGATGGATTGCGGGCCAAGGCTGGGTGCAATCCAGGCGCAACGCGGGGCGGACAGCGACGCGGAGATCTCAACACCGACCCCGCCCCCCCCCCGATCTCTCGCTCCCCGTCCCCCGCGTTTTTCTATTGGCCTTCCTCGCCGTAACCGCCACCTCGCCTCACCCGCCGACGACAGCGACCGGCATCGGTCTGTGCCGCCCGGCCGGCCGTCCGGCCTCTCAGCGATCGATCGATCGACCACCTCGGATCCGGTCCTCCAGCGCCAAAGCGTGCGAGAGGTTTCACTCCAGTGCGGCAAGCTTATGTATCGAGGGGCTGCGAAGCACGCCTGGCCTTTCCAGACGGGCAAGAGGGTGGCTGCAACCTGCAACTAGAAAAGATGGGCGGTGCCAGACGCGAGCGAAGTTCCACACAAAAGGCCGGATGCAACTGGCTCTGCCACCACATTTCTCCTGAAATTCAGAGACACACAGGGAGTGCAGTGCAACACGATGTGCGTGGTAAAAGGTACTGCGTGCTACTCCTTTCACCTGTCAGTGATGGGCAATTGTCACATTCGATCGAGCTGAGAGCCTTAACCGAAACGTGCATCGGTGTGTGTGGCCCTAAAAGCCAAGTTATTATGGCTATCAACGGCGATCGATGGGATGCGTTCTCATCATTGTAACCTAATCGATCGCAACCACGCCACCACTACCGGACGTTTAACAGGTGGTGTTACATGTTCATCCACAGTTCACTTTGTTTGTTAGTGACTGTGGCCCTAGGCTATCGATCGATTTGTGCAATTATACGTGGAATGATCGCTTTTGTTACGCATCCTCTCGACAACATGCATGTATACATAGTCATACATACATACATACAAGTAGTTAGTTTCTGATGTCTTAGTGAATTCATCATAGGTTAAGCTCTTGGTCAGTGTTAACGCTGCACCTGTCCACGGTTGGTTGTGTCTGCTAGAGCTAGCTAGCTGTCAGTACCACAGCAACTCATCCAGCTCTGGCAGCGAACCTTTTGTTCTCCATGATGATAGTCGCTCTCAGGACGGCTGGGCCCGTTTCTCGACCGACCCAAGTATATTTTGGATGGCGACCTTTCTCCAAATGGAAAAACCCCATTGCCAGACAAGGCAAACGCCTCGGACACGAACACTACTAGTGCTCGTATCCTTTCCTGAAAAAGAGGCCAAAAGGATCTTATTAAGCCTTTCAAGATACGTCACGTTTCAACAGGACCAGCTAGCAGGGCTGCCTACCTATGTGTCATTAGTTGCTGATTAATTTTACTATCCTGGCAAGAGAGCTAGAGCCAGCCAGCAGAGATTGATGGGGCTTCTGTCCATCTTCACTGTAACCAAAATTTACCATCATCTGATAGATGATGTACCCATGCAACTGTTTATATTGGCACCCATCATGGACTAGATTAAGTTGTGTACAGTAGTACCAGTAGTATTTTATTTATAAGTAGATAGATCAGATGGGCAGTACAAGAGAGTGCGTGTTAAACCTGATTAAAAGGTAAGTAGTTCCAGATAAGCTGAGGGCATGAGGGAAGACAAACTGAATATAGCTAGGGCTAGCTGTGGGGCGGCCGGCGTGGTGCAGAGTTGCGGTCAGGCAGAGGCGGCGGGCGGTCCGGCGTGGGCTCGACCTGATCATTACGCAGCCCTACTTTATATCCCAATCTCCTTTGCTCTGTTATTAAATTTGGACTGGCTGGACCATTTGGTCGATCGACATGTAACTAGATACACAGACCAAAACTAATACAGGTTGAGGTTGAGCCAGAAGCAGAATATTGTTAGACACCAAATCCACATCAGATATGGATTACAACAATACTAAAACTGTAGCAAGCTAGGCAATATGGAAGCCTCCAAAACCACTCTTTTGTCATTAAGAGCACAGTTAGGCAAGCCCCCTGGCTATCTGAAGCAACTGGTGGTCACGGTGCCTTTGCATGCTCTTCTAGGCCTAGGCGTGGTCCTCAGTGTGACATGTACGCCCTTCCCTCGCACGCAAGAATGAGAGCTGGCCACCAGTAGAGAAACCACTTTCCATCTATGGCTAAAAAACATTTAGTCCCGGTTTCAAATTACAAACCGAGACTAAAGTAGGCATGTGACATTTAGTCTCGGTTTGTAATACAAACCGGGACTAATTCCACTTTTAGTCCCGGTTTGTAACGGTTATCAAGGCGTGTCAGTTCTAGAAGCTTTAGTCTCGGTTTAAGACACGAACCCGGATTAAAAGTGTGACTTTTAGTCCCGGTTGAGATACGAACCCGGACTAAAGGTATCTTTAGTCCCGATTTGTGTCTCAAACCCAGACTAAAAGTGCCTCCAGAGTGAATTTAAAAGAAAAACGTATCTTATTTAAATCAAATATGTGGTAGGAGTTACAATGGCAACATGCGCAACGGTTGAAGTGGATGTCTTGAGTTCAAATCTCCGCACCCACACCTTTTTTTAACCCAAGAAATACCTTTATTAAAAAATCAAGACATTTAGTCCCGATTGCATAGTGTTGGGAACCGCACAGCAAGATCAATCGGCACATGCACATTTCGACATTAACCCAAGAAATACCTTTACTAAAAAA